GAAAACAAAGAAAACGAAGATATAATTAATCCTATAATAGTATATGAGATAAGGAGTCCTGATGTGGCACTGTGGGTTAATGTGCTGGACTGCAAAGTCGCTTTGAACCACAAGGTCAGTGTGGTTCAAGCTCAACAGCTGCTCCTCGGAAACCCTATACAGACTTGCTTTGGGTTGGAACCTACTTGATGGCACTTAACGACAACAAATGAGAGAGTAAGAAATAGTCCAAAAGAAGTCAGGAAAAAAGGCGCAAAAAACAGATGAGACAAATATGACAACACAAAAAGGTTGTGAAGAAAATTTAATTATCTTTTAATCGCAATTTTTCTTGAACTTTTTGAAGCTGCTACATAGAATGTGAGTATAGTAAGATGGTAGAATAAAACCCACCATATAAATAATTGCATTTAAGTGGTTTAAACAACCTAGTTAAAAGGCAGGGGTTAGGTTAAAAAAAGCAAGACCCAATTAAAAAAATTTTGTAAGTGAGAATCAGCATGAAGAACCACCTCCCTTCCCTGTTGCACCCTTGCTTTCTCTGTGGAGTGCAGTTAATTTGCTGCGACTTCACACAGAACTCAGGGACTGTACTTATATGTAATGTAACAGGACAGGGACAAGTGGCAACATGAAGAGGTACTCAGCTGAGGTTTGGAGAGGTCCTTGAAGCGCACTGCACGTCTCTCCTCAGGAATTTCTAGGATTCTCTCTTTCAGGAGCCTGCTTTGAGCTTTAGTGTTTGGGGCTTTTATGAGCCAGGCCATTCCTGCTTTATTGGTTACCAGGTGGGCTCCCTAAGGTCTGGTTTATTTCTATTAAGTATAATACTTTCAAAACACAAAAACCAAGTAAGTTTTTCCTTAGGGGACAGGGGCTCCGAAGTTATGATTACTTTTTTGGTTTGTTTTTAGTGTGTATAATTGCTATTTCAGACCTTACAACCTGGTTTGTATATTAAGCCTGTCTGTATATTAGAGTCATTTTAGGAGCAAAAGTTGAATTTATCTGCACCTCCGAGCTGATTATTGAGCATAGTGGCTCTGTAGGATAAGCAGTGGACTGTGAACCACCGGGTTGGTGGTTTGAGTCCACTAGTCACTCCAAGGGAGAAAGAGGAATCCTGGCTCCCACAAAGATTTACATGCTCAGAAACCCTATAGAGTTGCTGAGTCAGAACTGACTCAATGGTGCTTAATGGACAACATTAACAAGCCTATTACATCAGAATTCTTTGAAGTGGGACCCAGGCATCCTAAGTTCATAAAGCTCTCAGGTAATTCCAGTGTACAGGCAAGGCTGAGAAGCACAGCCATGGGAGCAGAAAATTTTTAGAAAGGGACCCAGAGATGGAAATACCACCTTCAGAAGTGTATAGACCTAGATGGGAGGATATGTCAAGAAGCAATAGCTTCACATTTTGATGTTTTTGTTTAGTAACAGTTTCATCTCAAGCTGATTTATTGTAGAAGGCAGTATTTATAGAAATTAAGAATCAAGAAAGAGTCTAAAAATACCAGGTACACCCCCACCCCTAGAGGTACCATATTACTGCAACGAGTAGGGCAGCGAGGGATGGTAGAGAAGAGTGAGACATTTAGGAACTGCAGATAATTCACATGGCTACAGCAGTACATCGACAGAGAACTCTCAGAAATTCAAGCTGAATTCAGAAGAGGATGTGGGAATGGGGATATCATTGCTGATGTCAGATAACTGGATCTTGGTTGAAAGCACAGAATACCAGAAAGATGTTTACTCATGCTTTACTGACCATGCAAAGACTTTCACTTGTGTGGATCATGACAAGCTATGGACAACATTTCAAAGAAGGGATATTTATTATTCAGCTGTACTCGTGAGGAATCTGTACATAGACCAAGAGACAGTCGTTGGAACAGAACATGGGGATACTGCATGGTTTAAAATCAGGAAAGGTGTGCACCAAACTTGTATCCGTTCACTATATTTATTCAATCTGTGTGGTGAGCACATAATCTGAGAAGCTGAATTATATCAAGAACAAGGCATTAAGACTGGAGGAAGACTTATTAATGATATGTATATGATGCAATTTTGCTTGCTTGATGAAAGCGAAGAGGATTTAAAATACTGATGAAGATCAAGACTGCAGCCTTCAATAGGGATTGTACCTCAGTGTAAAGAAAATGAAAATCAACGGCACCAGTAAATAACATCATGATAAATGGGGTAAAGATTGAAGTTGTCAAAGACTTCATTTGGTTTGGATCCACAATCAACACTTACACAGCAGCAGCCAAGAAGTCAAACAACGTATTGCATTAGGCAGAGATATCAGTCTGAGGACTCGGGTGCGTCTGACCCAAGCCGTGGTATTTTCAGTAGTCTCGTGTGTGTGAAATCTGTGAACAATATGGTACACCAAAGTAGAACTGATTCATTTGAGTTGTAGTGGAGAAGAATATTGAAGGTACCTTGGCCTGCCAGAAAAGCAAATCTATCTGTGTTGGAAAAAATAACAGCCAGAATGTTCCTTAGAAGGGAGGATGGTGAGACTTTGTCTCTCATACTTTGGACATGTTATCAGGAGGGACCAGTCCTTGGAGAAAGGATATCATGCTTGGTAAAGTGGAGGGACAGTAAAACAGAGGAAGACCCCCAGTGAGATGGATGGATTGGCACAGTGGCATCAACAGCTGACTCAAGCCTAACGGTTGTGAGGATGGTACAGGACCAGACAGTGCTTCCTTGTGTTGTGCGTTGGATCACTCTGAACCAGCAGCAACAACTACTTTCCCTGAGAATGCTGAAGGGTTGTTGTTGTTGTTAGGTGCCATCGAGTCGGTACCAACTCAGAGCGACATTATGCACAGCAGAAGGAAACGCTGCCCGATCCTGGGCCAACCTCACTACTGTTGCCACACTTGAGCTCACTGAAGGGTATGTTTAACTAAATGTCATCTTTACCATTGGTATTCAGTTTAGAACCTAACTTCCCTCTCTGACAATGGATTCCATTGAATAGGACTGTATATTGGGGCTGAGGGAGTACTTGGGTGTGTTTAGAACAGGTTTGAGAAACTTTTTTCTCCCAAAATTTATATCATTTGTGGGTCATAGCGTAGTGATTACAAATCAGGCTGCGAACCACAAGGTTAGCAGTTCGAAACTACCAGCTGTTCCCCAGGAAAAAGATGAGGCTTTCTGCTCCCGTAAAGATTTACAGTCTCGGAAACACTGTGGAAACACTGTACAGGGGCGCTGCGAGTCGGAACCGACTCCAAGGCACATCACAACATGAAATTATCAACTTAAAAATTAGCCTGCATTTAATTAACTCACGCCTAATGTGATCGAGTCCTGGTATGGTTCTGTGAATTAATGCGCCAGGCTGAAAAGCTGTTTGAACTGCAAGGTCAGCGGTTCAAGCTCACCAGCTGCTCCTTGGAAACCCTACACAGGGTGGCTATGGGTTGGAACCGACTCGATGGCACTTAACAACAACAATGTGATTAGCTTAGGAGCTCTGATAGCATACTGCTTACGAATTGGGGGCTGCTAATCTCAAGGTCGGCAATTTGAAACAACCAGCTGTTCTATGGGAGAAAGATGAGGCTTTCTGCTCCCGTAAAGATTTACAGCCTCAGAAGCCCTGTACAGGGTTGCTCTGAGTTGGAACCGACTCCACAGTACTTAACAACAACAACAATGTGATGGCTGGAGTCTTGGTGGGGTACTGTGGGTTAAAGTGCTAGACTGAAAAGTTAGTTTGAACCACAAGGCTGGCAATTCAAGCTCATTGGCCACACTGCTCAGGAACCCTATACAGGGTCACTATGGGTTGAAACTGACTTGACAGCCCTTAACAAACAACGTGATGACTGGATCTGCGGTTGCCTTGGCAGGGCCAGACTAATTGGTTCCACCGTACTTTCCCCACCCCTGGTCTAGAAAGTTACTGTTTGAGTGCTGCAGAAGCAGGCAAAGGTGGATCTTTTCTTACATAGAGATTTTCTCTTAGATACTGGGTCTGTCTGTGTAGGAATATTCTCTTTAACGTGCTATTTTGTTGTTCCCTCCTAGTTGTGGCCATTTATGATTATACAAAAGACAAGGAAGATGAGCTGTCCTTTCAGGAAGGAGCCATTATTTATGTTATCAAGAAGAATGACGATGGTTGGTATGAGGGAGTTATGAATGGAGTGACTGGGCTCTTTCCTGGAAATTATGTTGAGTCGATCATGCATTACTCTGAGTAAAGCTCTCAGCAGGCTATTCTTCCCTCACAGGAATAGTCAGGGCTTCCCAGATTGTCAGAAAGCTCCAGGGATTCCCCTCCAATGAAATGAAGGAAGGATGCAAATGATAAAAATGACTCCCCCCCCCCTTTGGTTTATCTCCCAGTATTAAAAAAAAAACAAACACTGAATCTGAACAAATGGATCTCCCTGCCATCATTTGTACTATGCTGTATTGAAATAAAGTGACTGTTTCTGAATATGTCAAGGCTATAACAAAACTATGTAGCTAAAGCAAATCAGAGTAAGAATGATTCAGAAAAAATCTGGGATCTTTCTCAGGAATACTGTGCACTCTTGTGATTTCTCCTCCTGCTGAACCTGTGGCATTTGATGTTCTTCAGTGTCTATGCTAACGGGTGGGTCCCTTAGCCTCACACTTGCTTGAACTTGTATTAGGGGGAGGGAACCTACATTTCAATACCATACATAACCATTTTGATAATTGTTTCAGATGGCTTCTTCTTTAACACTGTAAATTCTACATTCTGTCAGCACTTGAGTGAACCAAACAAATTGATGCTGAAGCAACTTGCATCCCTTTATGTTTCTCAGTTTTTAGAGTATGAGGATGAAATGTGAAAGTTCCCAAACATTCCGAGGGTGGTTAACACAAGTGCCAGTTTGATTTAATGTGCTGCTCCATGAGGCTGTGTTGCCACAAATGGCCAGCATATCCAGATGCTCCCAGTGTGGGATGCTGCTTTCCAGAAGTTCTGAAGGGGGTGGGGGTGGGGGGACACCATAGATGTGTTCTCCTGAAAGGCATCCTGAACTCTTGCCTTAGGTGCTGTTTTGATGGGTAGGGTTTTTGACCTTATTCCTTGACTACTTTCACTAGTTAGAAAAACCTTCTCTCTTGGAAAATACCAGTTATTTCAGGTCTCTTGACAGTCACAGAAAATAAGACTCGCTGCTATACTCCCTGAATGTCACTAATTGTTCATTAGGCCATTGTTCCCTGCTACTGCCTGAGCTCTGGAAAAGGTGGATAGATACTCTTTCTGATTTCATGAGATTGACCTCTGAAATAACTGTGCCTGGTAAGAATTTGAACCTTACAGCTCAGACTAAGGGTAAGATTCATAAGCCAAAATGTATCCAATCACATAAATAAAAAATAACTTTGAGAGAAATAATAAAGTATTTTTTCATCTGCACAATTAGTTTCAAATTCCATGGTGTTTGTACGGCAGATGACTTTATTCATCGTGTTAGTACTCAGGAGGACTTGACACTCTGTAGATGAAGACTGTGATACTGGGCCAACTCCCAGCCAGGCTCTCCCCATCCCGGTGACTTCCCTGTGTGGAGTGGACGGAAAAGGCACGAACTGCAGGTCACAGATGTCAGCCTCAAGTTTGGATAACACAGATGAGAGAGAAACTTGGTTCAAAAGTGGACAGTGTAGTGATGAGTATAATCCAAATGGGAATAGTCAGAAGTTAATGTTCTACTTGTGAATTTGTGATCTGAACACAAAACTTCCATCTCATAATTAACTGACACCTAACTATGGAGTCTGTCCCTGCCCTTCCCCTCTGCCTGCATAGCTATTTTGATTTTAGGTTTTTTTACAGCACTGGGTTTAACTTTCATTAACTTGCCTCTGTATACCTTCCACTAGTTACCATCTCAATATCCCTTGCTTTCTGTTTTCCTTAAGTTACGGCCCTGAGTGTCTCCTGAGCCTTTAAGTCCTGTATGAACCTCTGCTTGTATTGGTTAGCCTCCTCTTAGCATTGAAAGCAGTTTTTGAAGTCAGATGCCCCCATTTTCTATTAAGTAACAGTTTGTTTGAAAACTCCAACGCAGCTTCCACAGCTCCCAGCTACAGTAGAGAAGGCCACGGAGGCGGAGCCAGGTCAGCAGAAATGGAGCTGTCTGCTGGGTTGGGGAGTGCACTCCACACTGCAGAATGTGGTGGGGAGTCCATGGGCAAGGAATTTCTGTTATTTACTATTGTGTTTGTGCAGTTTTTGCTTTCAAAACAGTACCTGTTGGACTTTCTGCATATTTTTGTACAGTTTTGAATTTTACAGAGTGTCTTAGAAGGAGACTATGTAATGATGATGGGCGAGGCCTACAGTAATTGGAGACTTTTAATGTATGTGATATTTTTAATAGATTGCATGCTATTAATTGTCTGTAAGGTATTTACTGTTTCATTGTAAGTTCTCCCATTTATCTTTTTATAAACTAAAAGATGGTATTAAGAATTCCAAATGAATGCAGAAATCTTACATGCAGTGTTGTATTATTAATTTAGCAAAGATGATCCCAATCTAAAATCTGCTGACCAGTAAGCAACCACTTAGCAGAAAAGAGGGAATCTAATTTAAGGAGCGGAATTTCCCCTGAATTTTATTTTTGACATGTGTCCATTATTTTTTTAAAAAGAGAATAGCTGTCTTTTGTTGTGGGTTCATGGTTTTCTTTTTTGAGGACTAGGGGGGTTGTTCTTATTAAGTGCTGTCAAGTCCGTTCTGACCCATAGCAACCCTGTAGGGTTTCTGAGGATCAGCTGGTGAGCTTGAATTGCCAACCTTGTGGTTCAAACCAACTCTGCAGTCCAATGCATTCACCCACAGCTCCACCCTTGGACTCGGGGGTGGAGTGGGAAATAGTATTTGAAATGTTGTAAACTCAACAAAAATAGTGCCACTGTGTTCAAATCTAGCTGAGAGGCTCAGCCTACTGTTTCAAATATGAATCTTTTATGATGTCTTGCTCAGTATTTTTTGTTTGGGTACTTGATTTCTGCCTCTCTCAGGCACCTACTACTCCTCTTAGAGTAAGGGCGAACAAAATTCTGCCTAGTACTTTTTGCAGTGTTTTAAATGGCACTGGGTGAGACATCATCCCCCTGTTCCCTTCCCCCAACTGCTGTGGTTTATTCCCCAACCAGAGAGCATGTCTTCTACATCTTCACAGTGCTGTCTGTAATACAGCTGTGCTCCCTAGCAGCCTTATGTTAATTATGGAAATATAAGAAATATTTTTTTCTCTATTTGGGAGGCATCAACATGTTTGCATTAACCCCCTCACCCCTAAAATTTCCTTTAGCAGGTGATCTTTCTACACTAAATACTATTCTCCATTTATTTCCTTGTCTTGAGGAGAGAGTATGGCATGTCTTACCTCTGAAAAAGGTTTGATGGTGGAGTGGATAGGTGGCTGCTTACCAAGTCTTGAAGAGTGGGGATTTTCCCATGTCTATTTGGCCAGAAGCTCCTGTTTGGGGATTAGGTGATAGTTTCCCCCACATGAGTGATTGGAATGCTAGGCTTTTAGAGTTGGCAGAGATTTGAGGTCAGTCTTATTTTGTTGGTGAGGCTAGGTGTTTGGTTTCAGACAAATAACTAGGCAATTATGGTAGAGTTCCTGACCTGATGTTTTGTGCTTACCACTGCACAACTGTGTGAATTGAATGTGCTTTATTTTTTCTCAAAAAAATGAAGATACTTGAAAAGATATGCTATGTTTAATAAATACCATCAGAGTATTCTGTGTCATTTAAAGGAGTTCATTTAAGTACAACCTTAATTATTGAAACTTGCTACTTTGTTTCAAAACTACACTCAGTGCAAATGGTCTTCTCCATATGGTGTGTGTGGCAGAAACATGCATCATTTCAACAAATGGCAGGAGCACAGCCAACAGCCATATATGAGAGCACAAAAGTCTCACAGAGTTTTTAACCAAGGCGTGTTGTGCTCATTACCTGACGTTTACTGTAATGTGGATCTTTGTTTCTATTTCTAATTGAGACTCTCATAATTCTTTAAAAACCTGACAAATTAAACAATAGGGCCTAGCTGTGTATAAATGACTCTTGATAAATCTTTTTTTTTTTTTTTTTGGTAAAACTAAAAGCTTATTTTCACATCAAAATGGAAATGTCTTTTGCAACTTCAGAATTCTATGGAAAAGCAATTTTTATCATACTTTTGTGTCCATGCACCTTTTTCTTAACAAAATGGTTTACAAAAAAGAATGTCCACAATTTGTAATCTGGCCCGTTGTGCTTTTTGCTCCCAGCGGGAGGGTTGGTACTGAGTGGAGTCCAAGCCTGTGCAGTACAATGCCAGGGAGCAGTCTGTTGCCAGTGATGTTTCTCTTGTGTGTGCCATCAAGCCACCTCCGGAGTGGGGGAACATTCACTTGTTAATTTTTAAAATTGTATTTGGAATTAATTGTTGCTGTGTATTAAGAACTTTACCTAAATAAAATCCCACAAAGTCTGAGTTTCTGTGCATACATTTATATAAGGGGCCTCTTTTCTTTCCAAGGTGGTACACCTCAGTCTGTTGGTGTGCGGAGCCTTCTGCACTTTGCTGGTGCTTCAGACCTGGGAGCCTCTTTTTTATCACAGTTGTCATCACCACTTGGCATGGTCTCGGGCTTCAAGTGTTTAAGACGTACACCCTCAAACACATTTCATCGCTCTGATATTCTTCTGTCTGTATTTTTGCTAAGTAAACCTTGGGCTTTTTACCTTTTTAAAATGCATTTGACTCTGGTAATAGACCAGCGCTTCTGCAGTTCCCCGCCTTCCCAGTCCCTCTTATTTCCTTTTTAGGATGTCATCTGCTGGCATGGAATGGAAAACAGAGTAATAACCTGCTTGTGCATTTATAGAAAGAAGGCTTTTGTTTATGAATCGGAGGACTTTTGCGCATCAGTTTTGGCCATCTCACAGCTGTGTTGTATTAATTGACCCTGTCTGGGTTCCTCTGGAATTACACAATTGGTTAAAATGTTTTGTGACTGTACAAGGGGGAAGATAAGGGACTTTTCCCCACTGTCTTAGATGCTTGTGTTCACTGCATACCATACAATTCTTCCTATGAATCCAAAATGGTGAAGGAATGGGTCTTGCTTTTCAATGCCTTTGTTCTTCTTTGGTAAAATGATAGTCATTCGTAAACATTTTAGAACATACACATGTATGCAGACGGCAGCCCAACATACATTGTGACTACCAAACTTAGAAACAAATCGAAGTCCTTTCTCAAAAAGCTATCCTTACGTTACGTTAAGTGTTGTCAAGTCAGTTCCTACTCATAGCACCCTTGTATAGGATGTTCGAGGAGCAGCTGGTGGGTCTGAACTGCTGACCTTGATGTTAGCAGTCCAGTGCGTATCCTACAGCACCACACCAGGGCTATTAGCACCTCTAAAGTGAGAATGTATTTTAATTGCCAAACTTCCCCAGTCTATTGTTAGAAGCTCTTTTTACTTGTAGGTTAGCAAATTGAACACATGAACTTTTAGTTTATTCATCTTCACAATTTCTTCTTATTGCACAGCCTATTTTTCAGGAGCCCTAACATTACAAAAGCAAAACCAGTTCTTAATGGTGCCCATCCACACTCAAGGAAGATCCCCATGTTTAAACAAAAACTATGTTTCTGTTTTTATTAAGGATTGGGTAAACTGACATAATGAGAACATGTAACTGAAACCAAAAGTACAATGACTGGATGAGTAGCACCCGAAGCCATTAGGAGAGTCTGCTGACAGGAACTGGCCAGAAGGACTTGAAAAGAATGTAACCCACCATTGTCAGTACTACTGAATACAACTCTCTCTCTCATATATATATATATAGTTTTGCACAATCAGGGAGCAAGGCACATAATGAAATGAGAGCATACATTTACACAGAAGTAAGTTAAGAGCAACAATGCTGAAAAACTACATTTCATAACCAAATAGTAATGCTGAAAAATTGTAATCTTTAACTGTGTAATCCTTTGAACAGTGTTCTCTAGTAGCGGGTACTTTTAAATGCAGTAATGCAGTTCCTTTTGTCTTTTTTTTTCATGCTTTAAAATGTGTATTTCTACAATCTATTCGTGGGAAACGTCCCACGTTCTACAAGTCAGTGTAAGCCTTTTTTTTTTTTTTAAGAGAAGCTGGATTGAAGGAAGGGAGCAATCCGAATTGACTATAATGTACCATTTTTCTTTTAATCTGTGTTCCTTTTCACACAGGCTTGTGGTGCTTTAAATGTACATCTCTGTAAAAGGTCACTGGTGGTAGATAATTCAGCAAAAGTTTTGAAACAATGCAGTTAATGTTATTTTCTAAGAAGGATTATTTACAAAAAGAGGAAAAAATTAGGACGGGGACTCCTGGAAAGCAGCAATTTTTGGTATTAAATTTTTAACAATGGATTGTTTTCCAAAATGGAAGGGCTTTTATAAAAGAAGAGGCTGAGGCTTCACAAATGATGAGCTTGATATTAATAGCCATCCATGATCCACATCCTCACTTCTGAACGAGGCCATCTTTCAAATATGCACACGGTCTTTGGTAGAAAGCAGTGAGACCCACTGGGTAGAGGAAAGTCTCTCATGAGACAGTCCGTTTTCAATACCTGCCCAAACCGGAAATACTCACCGTTTTTCACTTTCTTTAGCACCTCACAGTTAGCTTGTTTCTCCTTTTTATGCTCTTCCTCCCCAAAGAATTCAAGGCACTGGGGATTTCTCATAGTTTATTAGTTCAAGAGCAGACCAAGTGTTTTATCAAGTATTTTGTTTTGCTTATTTTTATCTTGCAACTTTATTTTTTAGCTAAGCTTCTTATTTCTTTTATGGTCCTTCCAAGGGCATGGTAAGAACCAAGTACTTGTTTCATTTGAGGGATCAGCTGGTAACAGCACAGAAACGTTCTCACTGAATCTAAAAAGGAAACAAATCTGAGGAGCTAGTGCACCTCTCCGGGCCCATCTCAGACTGAAAGGTGGTGCCGCCTTCCTGTAGGGTTTGGGACAGCCCTGCTGTATACAAATCACGTGATGTGTATAGAGCACAAATCAAAGTGCCAAAGGAACTTGCATTGTAAGAGGATTTTAGAAATACAACACCTCACCAAGTGCATAAATCTAAATTAGACCTATTTTAAGCAAGTCATCACACCAATAATCATATATAGTCTATAAAGTTTAATTGGGCTAAACTGGAAAAGAATCTATGATATTATATCAGTTATAATCTGTCAGTTGTGAAAGTATGAAAGAGTCTAGTAATAACCTATGAAAATATTTTTTTTTTTTACTTAAAAATAACCTTGTGTCTGAAATTGCTTTTTAGTTTAGCGTCAAAGGTGACAAAGGGTTCTGCTTACTGGTGGCCTGATAAATCAAGCCACATTAATAGGAGCTTCTGGAGTTTGGATACACAGCTCCCAATGACCTTGATCTCAATGCTGGCATTCTACTGAAATTACTAGTATTCATGACCCCCAGTATTGTTTAGATGTGCTTCCTTGATAGTAAACTCAGCATAATTTCCAGTGACAAACTATCTGCCATCAGTGGGCAGGAGCACCTAATCTTAGAGGATTATAAAAAGCCATCTCTACATTACTTTGAAATTTCCAGATGAAAATAAACTCTAACTTCAGATTCAGCAATGTTTTTAAAAAGAGTAATTTAAAAGATCGGAGTTCTAGTTAAGAGGGTATGTGTAAAAGCTTTAATAATAGTTACTTTCCCAAGGGAGGGATACAGCAGCAGCAAAGAAAAAAGGTGTACTTCTTTACTTTGCCTCTGAGTAGTAAATGCCAAGCAGGTAAAATTTCAGTATAGAATGGCTACTGCCATCAAGTCGGTTCCAACTCAGTGACGCTTAGGACAGAGTGGAACTGTTCCCTAGGGTTTCAAGGCTGCAAATCTTTGGGAAAGCAGATTGCCTCATCTTTCTTACATGGAGCAGCTGGTGGGTTTGAACCACTGGGCTTTCAGTTAGCAGTTGAGTGCTTTCAGCACTGTGGCACGGGGACTCCTCAATATGAACTAGTCTTCTGTAGTGATGAACAGGTGTAGATTTGGCTTCCCTTCAGGACTGGTGACAAAACTTTAAGCCTATGAACTTTGAAATGATTTACGGTAAAAATTAAGGTGCTTTTAAGCAAGTCACTAGCTCCCGTAGGTACCTGTTTGCATTGCCTTCAGCAGCAGGGAGACTTCAATCCTGCAGGTCGGGTTTCAGTGGAGTCTTGGCAGCTGTCCAGGTTTCCTCCTCTGATCTGAGGAAGCCACACTGGGCTGAGCTGCTGAGCAGAAGGCAGTGAAAGGCGGCAAGGTGTCATCAGGCCGTGGGCGTTTTCCTTCAACACGCCAGAGAGAAAGGGAGAGCTACAAAAATAGAGATGCCTCAAAAAAGAAAAACCACACTCCAACAAAAAAATCACTAAAGAACAATTGCCCCCCCCCCAGAAAAAATCCCCACTATAAGTATAATCAAAGGCATCATTTTTGTTTCTTGATTTAGTTGTTTCATAATACAACAAAGTTTTTTTTTTTAAAAAGTGAATCAATAGCTGTTTCCATCTGGAAAGAAATGGCACGGAAACAGCCTGTTGTCACACAAGCCATGGGGTTGGGGGTGAGATGAGCACACCCCCATCTGGCCCTGCACAGCGCTCTCTCCTTTATTTACTCCCATGAAACCAGGGCGATCCTTAGACATAAACTGCAGGCAGAAGATTGGTCAGTTACTTCACTCGAGGCCTTCAGTGGAGCTTGGCAACTTGTACTCAAATATTACCCAGCTTTGCGGTGTGTGCTTAAATAAGTAGTGCAGGTGCATCAGCGGCCACGTTATAAGCACAAGAATATCAATCACAGAACTTTATAATTTAAAAGATTCCACAAGTCTTCCCAAAGCAGCAGGACTTTTCCATGTTTAACAGTGACTTACTGCTCTGTTGCCATGTGGAGTATAGTTAACAAGGTCCAGGGGCCCTGGAGATGGGGCTGGGAGAGCAGAGGGACCACTTGTTCTCATGTGATCAGATACTGTGTTGAAAGGATGGTTAGGGTGTTACTTGTGAGAACAGAACGTTCGCCCACTCCAGTTATTTACTGTCCTTGCCCCACTTCATTAGTATGACTTCTTAGAGGACAGTCAAAAGATTTTTGCATTTTGCACTGAAAAAAATCCTTTTAAAATTTTTTATAGGTATGCTTATTTATAGTTGCTATAATGATCAATATTCTCTTATCAATAGCTCTGAGACTGCATTTTGTTCCTTATCTTAAATCGATGAGACAATACACATTTCTTTACCAAGGAAAATTCACTAGATAGAGCCATAAAAATGGGGTGATTTCTGTTCTATCCATTGAACATGCAGAATACATGACCCCACTTACTGCACTCTTAGAACATCCAGTGACCTGAAAAATCTCTGTCACACAAGGGCAGGCCCAAGTGGACTCCACTGGCTCTAGCTGAAACTCTCAACTCTTGTTTATTTCCTTTCCCTCCTAAGATAGTTCTAATTAAAATGGATTGTTTCAATCTAGTATGACCTGATTGAAGACACCTACAGGGGGCCAGTTTTTTTCTTTTTTGATCACCCATTCTTTTAGAGAGTAACACACACACACACACACAAAGACATTTCTGAAAGTGACTTTGTTTTCTGTAAAGTGTGCCCTACCAGGCACAGGATGTGTGTGTTTGATATACCAATTGCTTACAGCTATTTGATATAGACACCTGTAGGTGCACACTGTAAGAAGACAACTGGAGGTCTGGAGACGCTCTCACAGAGCACACATGGCAACTGTGCTGGACTACTCTCAAAGTTGATGAAGCAGCTTCCTAAAAGTCCTAAGGAGGATCGAGTAGTCCCAGAAAGGAACCTAACAGGATCACGGTACACAATCACCCAGGGATGGCAGGCAAAGAGCGCACTTGCGACGACAACACTTACTCCACGGCCGAGATCTGGCTGGGCTCATGGCAGGAGTACTGCAGCTAGAAAAGGTTCAGTTACACCAGAAATTTGTTTTCTCTGCACAACCACTTAACAGATACTGAGTTTTCTCCAAACGTACAGTTCACCTGTTGCACAAAGCTAAGAGATTCTTCTGATTTAAAGTGCCCTCACGTGTTTAGTAATGAAGTGTCAGCCAAGCAGTTCTATTTTCAGTCAACTGGGGAAAAAAATCAACGAAAAGTCCTGTAGATATACCAAACATTCTGCTTGTCATCTCAAACTGAGAAACAGCACATTATATATCTATTCATTAATATATCATATACAACATGCACAAATAGGCCACACATGGACAGACATGTAAAAAATACCTTCTAAATAAGTAATTAGAAGTTTTTGGTCCAATCCACATGATAGAGAAACCCTAAGGGTCAGGACACACATTCCCTTCCATACCTCTCCCATCCCAAATACACAAAACCCATTTTTAAATGAGGACAGAATGGGAATAAATAGAATTACTCTCAGCTCCCATACATGTGTATGCACAGGCACACATACACACACACACACTACCGCTACATATATATATATATATATTTTTTTTTTTATATGTATAGCCGTGTGTACACACATATATTACATACAGCTGGACACCACCTGAACAGCAACATCATAATGGGAGGCTCTGAATGCCTGGATTCATAGATCAGGTGAACTGATTGTAGAACTGATGACAAACATCATGAAAATAAAACGTGGCTACCAGTCTCTCGAGAGCTTGGTGCTCTGGTCTCTTTTCGGGGGAGCCGGAGGGGGCCCTCTCCGCAATGTTGCATAACCTGATATGTGCCCGCCTCCACAAGCAGCCTTCTGTTGCCCAGAAAGCAGTTCAGGGGGAGGGGGGGGCAGTGCCATGTCATCCATGGTGGCTGTGGGCTCCACTCTGGACATCCGGGCAGACGAGAGGGAGCCGTGCCGGGTGATGGACTTCCGCTGCAGTGTCCTGTTGAGGTCGGCCAGGAATCCGGGCTGGACGCTAAGGCTGGATTTGGGGGAGGTGGGCACTTGTGGCACAACTGTGGCCATGGCTGGCTGCTCCGAAACTTCTGCTTGAGTTAGACGAGTGCTGTCGTTTCGTTTTGGTCGTGTGGGTGGAGGGGCCTTCTTAACAGACGTTTTGGACCAGGGCTGCGGTTGTGGTTGAGGGTTAACAACTGCTACCTTGGGCGAGGTGTTGGCTGAGAACACTGCTGGGATCTCGATGGGTGGCAGAGGAAGCTCAATTTCCGGTGGAGGTGGTGGGAAGTCCGAATCTGAGGGAGGAGAAGGGAACTCCACCACAGAGTCCTTGCCAGGCCCACTCAGAGCAGGTGTTTTTGCCATCACGCAGCCTGGTTGGAGAACTCCCGGCAGGTTCACTCCGGAAAGCTGGAGTTTTCCCGGTTTGGGAGGTGCCACGGGAGGTGGAGGTGTCTCTTTGCTAGGAGAACCAGAGGGCTCAGCTGGTGGGGCAAACTTGCTGACCAGACTGTCCACTGACGGTCTCTTGGGCTCGGGGTACTCTGCACACCCGGTGGACTTTATACTGGAGTTCCGCTGGGGGGTGGGGGGTGGCTTCTTCCCCCCCGGGCTGGATGTCTTACTGGCCTTTTTGCCTGGGGATCCACTTTTGTCAGGACTGGGAGCAGCTGTGGGGACGGCTGGGGGGGTGGGAGGAGGAGGGAACCCCAGGCTGCTCTCAGGAGGAGGGGGAGGGAAATCTGGAGAAGGGGCCGCGATGGCGCTGGGCTGCCACTTGGGTTTTGCTTTCACTGCAGGTGGAGACTGGGGGGTGACATTCGCTGGGACTGGTGGTAAGGGCTGCGGGTCCACTGGAGGCGGAGTGGGAGGAGGGGGAAACTGGCTGGCTATCAGCTTCACAACCGAGGGGACCGGAGACAGGGGAGAAGGGGGGGCTTTGACACAGAAGCTCTGCTGTTTGGGTAATGTTGGAGGGGGGACTGGACCAGGAGGGGGAGAGGGGGGAACGTGAGATACAGGAAAGGCCGGCTGTTTTTTTGCTGGGGGCGCTGGGGGAGTAGGTATAGGTGGGGCTATTTGTGTCCCAGTCTTGGTGCTGATTGGTGGGGGAATTGTGACGAGGGGCTTGGGGGGGG